ACTTTCCACCGGAACACTTTCCTCTTTTTCTTACTCTCCGTCTTTCTAGATCGGTCGATGTTTGCCCATATGAGGAAATGGTCGGTCGAACCTATATCTATCGCACTTACGTGCAGCTCCGGGACCTGTGTGCTCCCCCTATCTACCAGGATGTAGTCGAGGATCGAGTATTCATTGCAAACTGCCCTCTGCCTGGTGAACTCTGGCTTATCGCTTTCCCTCCTACCGTTCAACACCATCAGCTCGTTGCTTCCCAAGAATTCAAGCATCCTCACTCCGTTGTCATTCACTTTGTCTTCTCCGTGCTGCCCGATCGCCTGTCCTCTACTGCAAGCTTTCCCTACTCTGGAGTTGAAATCGCCCACCATGACAACTTCTCCCTTCCTACTGAACCTCTGGACATCTTCCCCAATTTGTCCGAAGTTCTCCTGCGCCTTGCTTGCGACTTTCTTCGACGACGGTGGGACGTATACGTTCCCTAGAAACAAATCTTTCTCACCCCGCTCCCCAGGTATCTTAAGCCATAGGCTTTCCTCGAACTCCGTTTTCACCACTACTTCCACCACGTCATACAAGTGTTCCTTGACCAGGAAATCGACTCCCCCCTCCCCCCTTTTCTTCGGGTCTAAGCCCTTTCTTGCCTTCCCTACCCACCGGTACTTCCCTATTTTGCTTACCACGTCCCCATCCTTCAGTTCCCACGTCTCTTGGATCCCCACTACATCCAGATCGCTTTGTTCTACTTGGTCCACTATTTCCAACCGCTTGCGCTCACTCCTTGCGAACCCGCACACGTTCCACGACCCCACTCTCAGCTTGTGCTTTTCTCTATTGGAGATTTTGCGCACTCTATCCTTCGCCTTCCGCTTCTTCTCGGCGTTCTTCTGATTTGCCTGCTCGTCTCCCCCGCCCGGTCTCTTCTTCGCCTCTATCGCCCTCGCCTCCTGTCGCCTTACCTTCTCTGTTCCTATCATGTTCGCGACGCAAACCCTCCATCCAACCTTCCTTACGTAGTTCGACAGCTTCTCGATGTCAACCCCTAAGCACTCTTGGCTGTCTCCCTTGGTCAATTTCACCCGGAAGTGTTCATGCTCTCTGCCTACTTCTCCCCTTGCTAGGCAATGCAGTCCCTCCGTGTCACACCAGTTCTTGAACTCTATCCTCGTCATGTCCCTTGGAATTCCAAACAGCAGCAGCTCCAACCTGTCTCCCTGCCACAGTTTCTGCTTCCATCCTCCCGGCTTCTTCACCATCCTCATGATCTCTACAGCAACTGGACCTCGGCCACTTGTTTTTCGTGTTTTTTCAGGAAGGTATACGGAATACTCGGCCTTCCCAATCCGAGTGTCCGGTGGGGGTTGTGGTTCCTTTCAGTTCTTTTGCCGGCTCACCGACGCTAAATAGCGCCTCCAACATGGGCTCGTAGTCTAGATCCAAGTTCACACCTCCTGGCACAAGTACCCCAGTCTTGTGCCGGGCGTTCTGCTTAGTAAACACCCAGACGTCCCCCGGCCACCCAATTTGTCATCTCCGAAGTCCCGCGGTACAGGCTACTTTCCTCCTGGGAGGTCATTTTCACCACAATAAGTTCAGGGACGACTTGCATAGCCTAAGATCCTACTCACACGCCGGGATGGATCGTACAACAACGTCCAGCTTCTCATGTACGCTCCACCATGGGTTGCTACCCCACTTACGCTCCCGAGTAGACCTATCTGCCGAAAGTTTGGCCAACAATTCCTTACTGCTTTGTACTCGCCTCTCTCCAATCGAAAACAATTCATTGTGCGTGCCGCACATCTAGCTCCGCAGTTTTTGCGTGGTTGGTCAGGTCGTTCAGGTGAGTAATAAGCTTTGCTTGGATGGCTCTGTGTTATATTGGTCCACTTCAAGCAACGAGCACCCCCCCCCCCTCCATCCTCCGAACCATTTTGGATCTCACGCCCGAAAATTTTGGGGTGTCTTAACTCTAAATCCTCCACCGCCCAATGGGGGACTTT